GTTGTGCCAGGGGAGGTTTAGTTTGGCTATTAGGAAAAATTTATTCACCAAAATGGTTGTCAAGCATTGGCACAGGCTGCCGAGGGAAGTGGTGGAGTCAGCATCCCTGGAGCTATTTAAAGGACATGTAGATGTGGTACTTGGGGACATGCTTTAGTGGTGGACTTGGCAGTGTTAGGTTTACAGTTGGACTTGATAATCGTAATGGTCTTTTCCAACCAAACTAGTCTATGATTCTAAGATCACACATGAGAACTGTTATCATGAGTGAGATCAGAGCTTTATCTACCTCAGTACTGTGTTTCTGATGCCTAAGAAAGTATTTGCTTCTAATGAGGCCTCCCTAGACTACTCTGCATCCAGCTATTTGTAACTGAGGTGATCCGAGTTACATGCTTTCAATAGTTCTCAATGAGTTTCCCTCTTTGTATTTGTACAATCTTTTTGATTCATCTAAACACTCAGCATGCACTGCATCAGGTGACAAGGTGTTCTGTAGTTTAATGTCCAGGTGAAGTAGCATCTGGCACCTCATGAGGAAAAAGATGCAGATGCTTAACTCAGGTTAGTGATGATTACTTTAACTAAGTTAAACAGAGACAATTTCATTAATGCAGCTACAGATTTGTCCTCTGTTTGGGTAAGAGAGAACAATGATATGAAGAATGAGATCCATCTGACCAGATGTAAAACTCTGTAGGTAAAAGCCATTTAACATTCATTTACTCTCAGAGGAAGACAGCCATTTTGAGAAGGGAGAACAGCTGTTCTGTGCTGTGTGAGATGCTTGCTCTAGGAAATTAGTTACAGCATATGAACTCTCTGTCTCCCTTGACACCACAGTGATATCAACCAATAATCCAATTACAATATTGATTCTAAATGGCACAGGAAGGACAGAGTAGGTGAGGATGACATTGTTTTAGTTTTAGAGAGTATCTAACCACAGCCTTTATCACTCAAATCATGATTGAAATACTGACTACAGACAAGGCCAATTACTGCCCCAGAAAATAATGAGCTGCCTGTTTGCAATGGGTAGGAATAAAAAGAAACTACATAACTGAAATCTCTAAACCTTAGATAATAGTTTGACACATAAGGCATTGTATTTATCACATGGGAACTCCACGCTTCACTCTGTTACAGAAAGTAGAGATAAAGTAGCTGCCCATCAGGACAGCAGGCTAAGTAATGATTGTCCCAACAATTAATATTAATGCCTATGTCCAAGTCTAACAGAAGCAAGTTTCCAAAAATGAAGCAAGAACCGAAACTAGTTATTCAAACAGCCACAAGAACAACTTTAAATAATTCCTGGTATTTAAATGTGTAGGCTGACAAAAACCTGCCTTGATTGCACTATGAAAGAAAAACTTATTTTTGTCCAATATCCCATTCTACCTTAACAGTGACACAAAGGTGCTACAGAGAATTTTCAACAAAGCAACCCAAACACTTTTACCTGATTCCCATCAATGGTGTAACCATGTTTAAGGGCAAAGATCTTGGCCATTGATACAGCCATTGAAAATCCAACTATTGCTATTGCCATTGCATCCACAAATATTGCTGGGATGAGCTGAATCTCGGGAACTGCTGGTGCACGTAACCTTGGAGATGAAATAAATATTTACAAATTACTGTAATAAAAGCTACATGCGATATGGAAAAGGTATAGTTTCAATAACAATATATCATCCTTACCCTTGAGGAATATTCCCAACAACATCGACTCTGTATGACTCACTCAGATTCATTCCAGCTGAAACTCCTGTGCCAATAATTACCTAAAAATCCACAGACACATTTGTAAATATCAGCTAGAAAGAGATAAAGCCACCTGAAGAACTAATAACAGCTGATTATGAATAAAACACACAAGGGATTATATTTATTTGTCAAACAATTTTCTAAGAGTTAGGAAGTAAAGAAACAGATAAAAAGGAGGAGGTATCATGATTTTCCCTCCATCATCCTCAACGCCCACTGATTTTACAAAGTTTTCTTGGAAACAGTTAAATAGAACAAGCTTTGGTGTGATCTGAATCACTCAAATTCTCTTTAGCTGAGTGAAGCCCAGGCAGAATAATATACTGGGAAATTAAATGCAAGGACAAGTCAAGGACATCTGCACTGACTTATTTTCATGTGCATAACCTGCATGTTACCTGTAAACAGAACTGGTGCAGCAGCAGCGAAAGGAACAGGTGAAATATTGCTTTGCTATTGCCTTACTATCAAACAATACCCTATTACACCACCTCCATCATCTCTCAACAGCATCCCTTTTCTTTGTATCTAGATTGTACCCATACCTCCAGTTATTCCCTTTCTTGGCTCTGATTTTGTACAGGTTGTTTGAGACTCTAGTTATCCAGCCACGTTTAAAGGTGAAAGGTTATCTCGATATGGGCTTTGTGTGTATTAAGATAGTCTGCTTTACCCATGCATTTTGGGGTAGTCATTTGAAACAGAATCAATGCTGCAGTCAGTTAGCAGTTTCAGAAACAGAGAAAGGAAGGTTAAGTCCTAAGTCCCACTGGTTTCTGCTCTTCTTTCTACCACCACATTTTAAAAAGCAAGCAAGCCCTGCAGAACCTCTGAAAGACGCACCTTCCTTCAGGAGGGTGTTCTGAGCTCTTGGACTCCAAGTGGGAAATGCCACTCAGAGGTATGTCTCGCAGAGAATCATTCAGGTGCTGAAACTCCAGGACAGAGTGGGGTTTACAACAAATCTCTACCTACCCATTGCCATAGGGGACGGTGGTTGTTTAACTGGGTTTTCAGTTCTTCTTTGGGACTTTCTGCCAAAACTTTGGCATATCAGTTTCTAACCTTATGAGTGTCCAAACCTCCAACTGAATCAAGCCTCATATGAATTATGTTCAACAGAAGTTACCTAAAGCTCAATAAGACTTGGCAGAAAATAAGACAGTTTCTAAAGCTTTAGAATTGTTATGTAATTTAACTATAGAATTTCATAACTGGCTTACCACAATGATCTCCATAGGAATAGGAACTGGGAGCTTCTTCTTAAACCTTAGATTGATTTCCTTGCCAATCAACAATAGAACAATGCACGTTAATCCGACAATCAATGCAGCAATATTAGTTGTTGTTATTTTTGAAAGCACAGCAGCTATGCTCTGTAACAAAACAGAAGTATCATAATTATTCCTAAGAAAATATCTTCACGGAGATTTGCCACAAAAGAGCAAAACAATGGAACAGGCTGCCCAGGGAGGTGGTAGAGTCACCTTCCCTGGTGGTATTCAAAAGATGGGTAGATGAGGTGAGGTGCTTAGGGACATGGTTTAGAGGTGGAATTGGTAGTGTTAGGTTTACGGTTGGACTCAATGATATTAAAGGTCTTTTCCAGCCACTATGATTCCATGATTCTATACACTGCTGTTCAGCTGTGCTTTTATTCTGCATTCATAACCACAGACAATCAGTGCCTCACAAAAATCCCCACTGTTCTCACAAAACACAGAGCTTCAGAGCAATAATTTACAACATCAGTCTTTCTCAAATGAGGCAAAAATTTGGAGAAAAAACTACCATGGGTTAAAAAGTCTAAACTAAACCACATGTCTTATCCTTAACATTTTCAGATATTTCATACTGGTAGCTACCTGAAAGCAATAAATGCAAACTTCTTCTAATACCTTCAAATATTCTTTGGCAAGTCACATCTACTTAGAGCTCAACATACCATTGTAAAACGATAAAGCTGCTGATACAACCATTGAGGTTACCATAGCAATATGATTAAATAACAGTGATCTTGCAACACTGCTGAACGGGACAATATTTCAAATATCTTTTAGCTGAAAACACTACTAAAAGGGTGTTAGGAAAGAAAGCTTGCTGGAACACAGAAATTGCTAGAGAGTAAACGATTCCCTTACCAATTACTCTTCCTTCTTTCACTGCACTTAAAAAAAAATAAAATAAATTACTTCTGGAGAGGTCTATGAAAGAAGATGTACATACCCTTCTTCAGAGGGAAGGAAAATTACAGCAACGATCAGGCTACTATACCTTCAAGATGTCCTGGTAGTACATCTTGAATGTATACCTTCCCTCCTATTTGTTTGGCAAGTTAGTATGTCTGTTTTCCTGATTAGTGAACTAAACACCAAATTTAGGAATTAATCATTAGTGCAGCCTTGTTTCCAAAAGGTTTGTTATATCTGTACAAATAGACAAGAAAGATCCCCATAAAGTATTTTCTATAGCCTCCATGCAGTCATAATCCTGAAGCTTCATTACTGCTGAGGCATCAATCTGCTCAAAAGCTTGGGTTTTCAGAGACATCTGAGATCTTTCCTATTCTTTCACTCAGGAGTTCTTGTCTGCAAAATCAGAGCACTGATTTTGTAATAACAACTCGGGGCTTCTTAGACTGGCAGGCAAATCAGATTCAGATGCACTTCAACTCTGCTTGTTCTTAATAGCAAGAAAAGCAATGCTCACATAAGCTTAAATGCTTTGGTTGTGATTTCAATTATAAATGTCCCTTTAAACAAATAATTTGCTGCATGGGACCCATTAATTTTTTTTCAGAGCACAACCATTAATTTTAAATTCAAGTGAACAAGAGCTTTTGGTTTTACTTAAGTCACACTAACCAAATCATAGCTTTACACTGCATAGTTTTTCTTCTGATCTCTTGCATCACTATGTGTTAGAAAGTGAGTGGAAGATCAGGCTATAAGCTATGTCAAATACTGGATCCCTATATGCTCTGAACAATTAGTTTTAATGCTTAGGGTCTTCAACAAATAGCTCTCAGTGCTATTACACAGAGTGTCTTTCTTTAAAAATAGTTTTTCTCACTACTCTAAAAACCAGGTACATATATGACGACACAGCACTTTGTGTGCAAGCACACTACAAAACAGCTTGCAAAAAGGAAATGAAGAATACTCCCATCAGGAACTGTGTGTGAAATCAAAGATATGCAGACGGGGCAAGGTTCTGAGAATAACATTTCCTCACTTTGCAAAACATGTCTGGTCTACAGTGAAGCATTTAGCAGCATATTTTCCCATGATGTACAAGAGACTTGCTTCAATGAGCATTACCTGTTCATATTACAAAACTACATTTAGCAGAATCCTAAAATCTGTCCATCTCAGACCAGGCTGATCTATCAAGTCGCACCCAAGCAGCACTTTAAGATGCTCATATATTGCTATGGCACTTAAAACCTCATACCCAGTTTCGAATACTGAAGCATTATTCTACTTAGTGCCAAAATAATTTAAAAAATAATAGGAAAAGGTTTAAGTACTAAATCCAGACAATACAGAATTTGTGTGTTTAGTAAATGCAGTTACTCACATATACAACTGAGAGGGGCCCACTGTATCGGTTAGTCTTAATGCCGAGGAGATACTTTAATTGAGAAGTAAAGACATGAACTGCAGCAGCAGTGGTAAATCCTCGCACCAGAGGCTCCGTTAGATAGATGGCTACGAATCCAAATCGAAGGAAACCTAAACACAACTAATGAAGAAGAGAAACGTTAACCATGCGACTCCCACTGTACCCTGAACATCAGCACTATCTAGCAGACAGGCCACAGGACACCTCTTCTTACCGTGATGCCCAAGACAGATCAGGCAAACCTGAACTTGGGCTTTCTAAAGCCACAGTTCAGTAAGCAGCCATCAATGCACCAAACCTGCCATGCCACTGGCAGGGGCAATGTGCGATATGGGTAAATGTGTGTTTGCATGCATTTATGGACAGACTAGAGAACATCAGGTTGAGTTTTTCTTGTGGGATAGAAAAAAAATGAAAGGGAGGAGGTCCAAATTTTCCCAGTCAGGCCAAGATGCCAGACAAAGACTTGCCACCAATGTATGCCTCTCCACTTTGTTACATGGCTGCCATGAAGCAGCCTGTGTTCTACACAGTGCGGTGCTGAAGCACAAGTCTATTGACAGGGGATCTGCCACAACCCAGTGCTCCTTGCAACTGCAAGTCTGGCAGCAGCATGTGAACTTGCCCTTACAGCAAACTGCAAGCACATACCTGGATAATTCCTGAAAGAAAGGCGAGAGTCACAGCGACCTGTACCCTCTTGGCATCCCTAGCAGAGTAATAATCAAGGGAGTCTGTGATGTTAGTAGAGTTATAGCCTACAGAAATAATTTCATCAGGCACTTCTCTCACAGCAACGCCACCAACCATCATACTAATCACAGCAAAGGTGCCTGAAATAAGAGGGAGAGGAAAATAATTGGTTAAAATCCTGGCTTTTTTTTTTCTTTAGGAGAGGTTCTTATTAAGAGATATGTGGAATTAAACCATAATAGAGTTTTCTACCTAAATATTATATTTTTTAGTCCCAAAATCTGCTCCACTACTCAGCACCATTAAAGTTAGTTAGATGGTGAACACACACCTTTACAGAAAGTAAACACCATCATTCTTTTCTCTTTCAGTTTCTGTTATGCAAATTAAAGATTCATCCTGGCCACACAGACAGTTGACAGCAGTGATGAAATTAAAGTTCAAGAGTTCACAGCACACATTTCTAGATCTAATCCAATAAAAACACTCTTCTATTTCTTCTTAAGCAGGATGGATAAATTAACAACTAAAAAATACTGCTAATGTTTGACACATTTGTGTTTCTCCTATTCACTTAAACTTGCATTTATAGAAAACAACTACACTTTGTTTCTGCAATTTTATTTTTTACAATTTTATTAAACACATGCACACACACACAGACTTTCAGTTACCCATACAGGTATACCTATTGATATGTGCTTGGAGGTTCCAAAAAAAGTATACAGAAAGACAGGATAAAATGAAGAATATAGGCCAAATACTGGGGGAACAGCTGCCAGCAAAGCATAGGCTAAACCTAGAAAACAAACACAAATACGTATGTTAGGCAAATAACAGAATGAAACTATTTGAAGTAAAAGGATTTAAGCCAACTAAAATTGAACTCGCCTAATAGGAAATCTAGTGACATATCACAGGTTTAAAAACAAGAAGTCTTGCAGGGGATACTCTTTAGTATGTATAATACTGCAGGGCAGTGCTGAGTGATTTGAGTCAGGAAACCGTAAGTCTCTATTTACAGGCACTGCAGGTGTGTGTTTGTGTGCACATCTGCGCATCCGTGCACTTGTTGTTTTGCCTTTGGGGCTGGAAGTACTTCTTAAGAGCCTGTTGCTTTTGTTTTCATGTGTCAAAGAATGCAATTAAAAACATCCAGAACTCCATAATCAGCGGGACACATGTGATTATTCTCCTCCTTTCCTAATCAGATATGATCTTAATGGTAATCTATGACTGATTAAACACTTCCCTCTTCTCTATCCCCTTATCCCAGAATGAGTAGGATGACATAACAGTTCATGTATGCAAAACATGCTCCAGAACATAACACTGGCAGGGAAGAATTGTTTATGATCTGTAAGGTCACAGACCTTATAGGGTCTGGTATCCTTCCTGAAAAAAAAGTCCTCTTTGTTATTAAGCCCTGTCCAGTTCCATGCAGAGGAAGTCCGATCCAAATCATTCCTATTTCCTATTTGTAGGTGGAGCTGGCAAGCATGGCAATGGAGAAGAGCTCTAAGGAAGGTTGGAGAGGAACATCTCCCATGGTGCTCCCCCTCTGTGTGACTGAACATGGGCTTATCATGGGACCAGGCTCACAAGCAAATTGTGGCCACCACGTAATATGGCACGTAACTGTCCTGAGTGGTTCCAGCAAAATCAATATTTATACATGGCTTGTGTTAATGAGAATTAGGCATCAGAACTGAACAAATGGTCCCCAAGAAGAAAATGCTGCATCCTGGGTTGGCTTGGTTCTTCAATTCACCTTCGCAAGTGCAGACTCATGACACCTGAGCAAGCTGTGTATTCTTACCACACTTGGGCAGAATGGTTCAGGTTAGGACTGAAAAGCTCAATGGTCCAGTGCAAATTACAAAAGGAAGCGATGGTTCACCCACCATGGAGAGTTAGTGATACTTGAAAACACCTCTCCCTATTAATTTATTTTTAAATTGAGAGATAAAGCATCAGGTTACCACAAAAGAATAAAAACAGGAAGACATAATCTGTGTCATCCAAGCACTCTTGTGCAGTGCAGTAGCTCACACGGCCTTGCTCACGCCCTAAGCAATGTCCAAGTCCTAACCAAGAATTCATATTCCTATCAAAACTGGACTGATGATATCATTTATTCTCTTGCAGCAGTAAGCTTTTCATTAAGTACTTCTGAAACTCATCCCACATACATTCCCTGCCCCAGGGGCTACTTCTTACGCCAAGAGTATCAGCAGAACTCCCTGTACTGTAACAGCCTGGCCTTTAACATGGTGATGAACTGAACAGTACAAGTGACCAGAACTGAAAATCAGTGGTTGCAAAACCAGGAGGGTGGGTCTATGTGAACTTTCTGATCTGAATACCCTTTTATTCCTTTTCCTTTTCATTTATACTGGCATTTTTAAAGGCTGTCAGCGCCAAGGAAATACAGAGATATTGACATGACAGGAGTTCATGGCCTTAACACCCTGGTCATTGTATTTCTGCCTTCTCTGAACTCATGCTTGCTATAATTACATCCATTCCACAAAAATAAAAGTTCAACCTTTGTCTTTTTAAAAAGGGAAAGATTAGGAGCAGTTCAAGGGCATGTCTGCAGTCCCTGAAGGAAAGAAAAATGTTTAGTTTAAAAGACAGTCACAAAATTAAGTACAAAGTTCACTGCTGACCACTTAAATTTTAGCATCCTTATCTGGTCATCATATAAACTGTGTTTCAGTATACACTGGTAATGTTTGTGTCTAGTATGATAGATTTGCCTGACAGTTAACCACATTACTTATCAGTTTAAGATAAACTGATGTTTGTATTTGTGTAAGAAAAAATATCCTTAATTATAAAAAATTGCACAAAACTAGGAAGCTACAGAAATAAAGAAGTCAACTGTATAGACTAAATTAGGATATTCTATTGGTTTAGTGGGTTATTGTCTATTAAAATCCAGGCTTCTTGGATTTACAGATTAATTCTTCAGACCTGCCTCAGCCTAACGTGGAATGAATGAGGTGGAAATAAAAAATAAGCCAAACGCAAGTAAACTTATATATACTTAATATTACATTACCCTTGGCATAAGGACCCTTCTGTACCCGGCTCTGCACAAACTCATGAATTCCCTCCAGATCTCCTGGGAAAATCTACTGAGGCAGTGGCAGCTGTTGTGGAGCTGCCATTCCCAGAGCAGTGATGGCACCCCGTAATGATACTGCTACAAAAGTGCTGTCACTTTCTAGCTCCACAGCAGTTCTGAAACTGCTGATAGCAAGGTGTCAGGCTGAACAAAAGCTTCCACAGGTCCAGGCATCAAGAGCTGAACAGAACAGTAAACACTGGCTTTCTCTTTGTCTTCCATAGAACCTGTTCCTGCTTCAGGGCCAGGCTCCACTTGGGGTGAAACTTGCAAGTAACTTTAATAGAAATCCCACAGATTTGCAGTCTTGCTATAGAAGAGACTTTTGATTTATTTCCACCATGTAAACAGTGACTTCTAGCCTTAAGTGAAAAAAAGGGGTAAGTCAGATTTCTTGCAAGTTTTTCTCTGGTTGAATTAGTTTGGTTACTTTGCAATAGTTGCTCTCCTGCAACATGTCTATTAGATACTGCTACCCTCTGCAGGAAATTTGCTACAACTTCTGGGATGAGGAGATCAGAAAATAATTGCATGCATTCAGCAAAAGTTTAGATATGCACTTAAACTGTGAAAAGTTGTTCTGTCATGGAGAGCTGTTGGTATTGATTGGAGAGGTAAGCTTCTTTCAGAGTCTGCTACATATCACTGAGCTGCAGTTTTAAGGGAATCATCATTAAGGGTTGGTCTGCAGAATGCTGTTCTGATCTCCACACACACACCTGAAATACACATCCTATTCTCATGAGCACCTGTTCAAGAAGCCAAGCAATACCATAAAACCACAAACAGAAAAAGCAAAGAAGAGGATAAATAAATCCAGAAAGATACTTACCTTGAGGAAGCTGCATAACCCCAGTGCTTATACCTGAGATAATGTCTCCTAATAAGTACTCCTTCACGGGGTAACGGGGAAGCCATTTTAAAATTGGTAAGAAACTGTAAAGGTGAGACTTGGCTTTCTTAGAAGAACAACTGAAAATACAAAGCAGGAAGAAAAAGTTAGACACTAGCAAGGGACAAACAGGTCAAAAAAATTGTCTTTCATCCCTATGCAGGGAAACAGCTCCACTAAAGGCAGGATCAGACACCTCATAACAGTAATTTCTGGTCAAAGCTTAATCACAAACAACTATGACTCCAGTTAATTTAGCCCTTTATCACATGTTGGCTGGTGTTCACAAACCTTATGGCACTGGAGAAGAGAATCACAGCCTTGTGAGGCTGGAGGTCAGTGGGAAGTGAAACTGTTCAAGTCTCTGCACAATTGAGCAGCCACACAACACTTTTTGCTGAGATCATTCCTAGTAACAATCCCCTGAGGATAACTTGCTTTGTGATAGAGGTTTTCACTCATCAAAGTACCTTGCATTGCTTTTTCCTATTTGCGTGCTTTAAACTTTTTTTATTATAACATTTTATATTATTATGCTTTTTAAAAAACCTATTATTTTAATAATGCTTGTTGCTATCACTGATACTGATAGGCTAACTTTAAGGCTATTTGAGAACATAACCCTTCTGTACCTTGAAAGGAAAGGCACTGAAGCCAGCAACACTGACGCCCGTGTCTCTTAGCAGAGCTGTTAACCTTTTGAAACCCTGACTCATGAGAAATGAACAGAGCCAGGAAATAAATATCTCTATCCAGTACTGCCATGCATCATACTTTGATTGTAAGTGTTAAGAAAGTTTAACCTTGGGTAAAAATGTAACACTGGGATCATGTAGGGGAACTGCAAGACAACTGCAGAGATTTGTTAACATTCCAAATTCTCATGGGACTAAATTGCATAGTGAAGAAGCTTATTCCTATAAGTGAGAGAGGAACTAGAGTCATCCACACTTCTCCATGTTTATGCAGATTGAATCACAAGAAGGCACAGCTCAGGAGGATTTTGACCTACATGTTTTTTATTCAGGACAGATAAGTTTTTAAAGGTGGAATTAGGTGCCATTACTATTAGAATGGTCATTCCATTAACCAAAACAAATTTCCAAATGTCAAATCATGTGAACAGGAATATTTTACAGACAAGGAATAAGGCAGAAATAATTTGTTGTCTTGCAGGACAAGGTTCTAGCAAGAAACTGTATCAACTCTGCAAATGAAGCATGGATAAATGCAAAGCTGTGAACTTAACTAGAATAAGTTTCTCTTCAGTATCCTCTGGAACCACAGGGCAAGAGTTGCACAGTTAAAGACATCTGTCTAACCAGATGATACCTGGATTCTAAGGCAGTTAGTTAAAAGCTACAGAATGCCTCTTTTAAGTCCTCATTAGACTAATAATTTAGATTTCTACACAGCTGTCATACATCTCCATTCTTCTTCCTTGAAATGATCATGTGAAGCACAAATTTGGCCGTAAGTATTTCCACATAAAAACGACACACATTTTTCTGGGTCTTATGAATTCATGTCACATGACTTGACTAATCCTTCACATTCCTATGGTGCATATTTTTCCTTTGCACTTTGATGAAGGCAATTCAACTAATTTAACATTTTCATATATATATTAACATATAAAAACACATTACAACTTCATCATAGTCGTGCTGAATAAAGTAGAACTAGTGCTTTTACCCTTTAGGTTTCTTTGCAGAGGTTACCAGCTCTGTGCATGAATCATTTAAGAATTAGAGCATTCCTAACCAATAAAGAAAAAAGCCCCTACCGACAAGAATGTGCAATCTTCTGCCTTAGAGTCTGAGGTGTTCTTTCTCGTCTGTGCAGCTGTCCTTGCAAGAACTCCTGGTTATATATTGGTCTCTCTACATAATACCTCTGGGTTTGCTCAAGATGTGCTCCATGTTCTTGAGCATGTTCCATACTTGATCTCACCAAGGAGAAGTCAAGGAAGAACAGTTCCACAGTCTTCACTGAAAAGCCTGGTTGCAGACAAAATAAGTTTGGTTACTTTTTTAACCTCGGATTTGGCATTTCCTTTCAAATAATGTATTTTGACAAGCTAGAAATAGTAACTGTGAATGCAGTTTAAAAGCACTCATTAGATAGTCTGCGACAGCAGTAAGTAAATAAACCACACTCACAATCTTTACTATATGGAAGCCAGTAATTTATGCTCCTCCTAGGTAAATTAAGCTTTTGCATTAATTACTCTGTAAATAATTGCAGAAACAAAACTGGAAGGTTACATTCATGCTTATCTGGATTTTCCCTCCTCAGTTTTTAAAGCAAATGTCAGTGTTGAAGGGGTATTATTTTATTGCTGAGTTACTTCCTGCTTACTCACAAACTGTCACGTCCATCTCCACAAGACAGAATTCCAATTCTAACACTGAAAAATCCACTTCTTTCTTCCAGATAGCCAGTTGCTTCCTGCATCCACCCACCTGCTTTCTCCTCCCTCTCTTTCAGAGGCTTCTTTTTGCAGACAGCATGTCAAGGATGCATAATTCACTACTTTCAAAAAATTATTCTTTCAATGGATATGCCATGTACTGCTAGAGTCAGTCCTGCACCCACTAAAACAGGAGTCACAATTTTAAAACCAGACAGAAGGTTTGTAAACATCTATTTGCCTGTCTGATTCAGTGTCATAAACATCTTAACATGTTTAGGAGATACTCTGTTAATTCCTTTGCTCTGTGTTGGCTGCTTCTAGAAACACAGGGCAAGAAACATAACTCCAAATTTGGAGCAAAATGACAAGACTGCTATCTATATCGTTAAGCAGAGAAGTTGGCTAGCGCTACATTTGATGACAGAACGCGAGTGCAATGGGAAACAGAGCAGTAATTGTGAACAAGGCCCTTGGGCTCAGGTCCAGCAAGTCACTTAAGCACGTGTTTGCCTTCAACCAAGGCAGCTAACCCAGGTGTTTAGTTTTCAGCCGTACATCAATACTTTCCTAGAAAAGGGTTACCACGCGGAATTAAACAAATTGCTACCTAAACACTCAGACAAAGCTAACCACGACTGGTCCAACATTCTGATTCAGCAAATACAGTCTGCCCGGCAGCAGAATACCAATGTTGCTTCCTAAGCCTTCAGTCTGACCAAGGTGCTGGAATTTTCCACCCAGAGCTCACTGTCCTCTGCCTTCCAGGGCAGACATGACCTAGCATCTGTTCAGCTCTCATTATTTCACAAGCAAGATTTTCCCT